TCCTGAGTTTACAAGGGAAAGAACTACCGAGCCGATTATTGTGGAAGATGATGAAGTATTGGAGACAAATCCATCGATCGAGCCAATGGTTGAAAAGCCAGCGGACTCCATGGTAAGTACAAGGTTGTTATTAGATTTGTCTGCCAATGTTGGTTTTAATGATGTTTTTGCTACGTTACTGGGTGGAGAACATGACTTCGGTGAAGATATTGATAACATTGACGAATCATCTTTGTTAAATTTTGAATTTGAAGCTGACATTAATGAAGAAGACCCAGTATTCCTATTTCAAGGTGATCGTCAGACCTTGCCTGAACCCTCCACTACAGTTGAAGTTGGTGCATCCGATACTCCTAGAGAGCCAATTGATCCGACCGAGATTTTTACAAATAATTATGTGCCATTTGCAATTCGAGCGAACTTTCCAGGCTATTGAAGACATCTATTTTGGCATCTTTCTCCGGCACCAAAAAGCTCTAAATGCTGATAAGATCCTTGGTATCCACAAGGAAACCAGAGATTATCGTATGGAGTATAAGCACTTCCTCAAAGCCAAGCGTCTCCCGATCAGTCAAGTTCGGACCAAACATCGAGTTGTGTCAATTAAAAACATTGATGCTCAAAGACTTCTTAGTCTGGTATCCGGTATTCATAGTGACACGACAACATGGTAAGGTCTGGGTGTTTAGCAAAGCTGACTTCTCCAACTTGTATTTAGAAGATCTGGAGCATATGTATCACGAAATCCAGAATATGACGAACACAAAAGAAGGAGTTCTTGTGGGTCTTAATGTGATCAAAAGGTTTATGCGTTGTCACATCAATTTTCTATGGTTATTGATGTCCAAATGGGACTTGAAGATAATCAAAGAACCATTAATTTGAAGAGACCTGATCAAGACCTAGAAGACATTGAAGCTTATCTATTTTACATGATTCTTGAACAATCGGAGTTCGGGGTGATATATGATGCCGAGGGTCAGATAAAGAAGTTCATGAGGTTCAGCGAGCTGAATAAATATTCTAATGGTACTATTCAAATGATGAGACGGGTGCTGGAAACGTGGAGAGTTAATAATGATAAAGCTACGGAGTCGGAGAGGATGAGTCCAAAGGAAAGGTACTTGCTGATTAATGCTTTGAATTTGCTTGAAGAAAAATTGCAATATCGGAATACGCTGAGGAGGCTGGAGAAACTGCTCGGACTCAGAAAGACCAGATTTACAAGAGTTCGAACTTGAATCGAAAGGGGGAGATTATTGGGTTCAAGATTGTACGTTAAAGTTGTATTCAAGTTCTCCCTTTTATAATGCTTTGTAATAGTTAGGCTTTATTGTTTTCCTTAGTATAAATAGTGATTAGTTTCCTAATTGTCATTAAGTTCAACAATTAATCAGATTAGAGCTGTAATCTTTGTAAGAAATTCTTTCAAGAAATACATTGAAGATTTGGTGACAATTCTCTCTACTCTTGTTCTTGATCTTCATCTTGAAGACTGTTTCTGATTTTGTATGATTTAGGCATTTCAACTTCCTCCTTGTATGTTGCCTGATAAGAATTAGAGTTGAACCAAAGCGAACAAAATTGACTGCAGTCTTGAATATCTAAACTTCGAGCAACAGATATTTCATGACCTCATGGTATGCAAGAAAGTTGACATTGCATGCATGTACAAGTCTTAGAATGCAAATTACACTTTCCGTTCTTATACCTGTCATTAACTTCAAACAACAACTCACTAATGGGAAATACTCTCCATGTTGCACTCCTATGAATTCTCTTTTCTATTTTTGCCTCCGCCCAAGGTGTCACTGCATTTATCATTTGTGTTGCAAATAAATGATAACATTAGCCTATGTTACATAATCATACATATAGTTTTGAATATAAATTTATGTGATAATCGGGTCTTGGTTATGCACCCGAGGTAATTATTATGTGATTTCTTGGTTATATGTTCACATGAATACTTGATAAGTGGTTATAATTGATCATGTGAATACATGCTAAAATGAATTTGATATTTGAGTATGTGTATATTTTTTTATATGCATGGTTAGTATGCATGGGTATGTATTTGAAAATATGTGAGTGATATATATATATATATATATATGTGTGTGTGTGTGTGTGTGCATATGTGTGGGCATGGATTTTATGCATGCATTATGTGTCATGCATGCATTATGTGTCATGCATGTGAATATGTTTGTAAGATGGTACACATGAAATATGCATCCACCGCCTTTCTTTATTAAGGAAAGGTATAAAACAGGATTGGGAAAGAAAGCACTTTTTGCCTGCCATTCTTTGAAAACTGAGATTAAAAGGTGTTGGAACCTAGATACTCTTAATTTGTAGAAACATAGTTTATGAAAGATGAGAATTAAAACAAACAGTGTATCTTGAATGATTAATCGAAATATTCAAAGTATAAATAAGAACAACTGAATGAATTGAATATGTGGAATGCTTTTATTGATAAATATGAAGAACAATCAAAGCAAAACGTAATCTCACAAAATTTGCGTATAATATAAGTCGGCTCCTTCAGGTACATTGAACCTGAGGAGGAAGCCTTTTTATATACACCTAGGTCTAACAACTATGCTATAAAATAGGCTTGTAATTCTGAGCTGACTAGTCTGCATCCTTATCTTTGACTTCCCTTGAAAAGCGGAGCAGACTTGGTCAAGCCGCTTCAAATCTGTTAGACGTTTGCAAGATTGTCTGGGCTAGCATGCGCGCGTTCCATGGAGAGAGTGACCAGAAGCTCTGCTTGTAACATACAGAAGCTCTGCATGTACTATGCAGAGGTTCTGCATATGCAGAGGCTTTTCATGTACTATGCAGAGGCCCTGGGTCTTGGAGTTGTAGCTTTGTGTCAAGTGCTTATGCTTTTTGGTGCATAAGGCTTGATCGTCCATGGGAATAGAGCGTGGGCTCTGTATGAATGGAACCTTCACTCTTGAGTAAGAGCTCTAGTTCTTGATCCTCGGCATGAGAGCTCTTAGTCCAGACCGCTTCAATAGACTAAGTCCTATTGACTAGAGTAAGAGACTTCTTACTTACACTTTCATAGGATGGGGTCTAACAATCTCCCCCTAAGTGTAAATAAGGCATGCTCTTACTTGATTTACAAAACAGAAAGTCTAATCGAAACAAGAGGTTAAAAGGAACCTCTGATTTACATTCACTGTCTAAATAAGTACAATACGATTGGAATGGAAATTACATTGGCTTAAAGATAGAGAAAAAAACTTACAAAAGATAAGGTCTAAACATTTTGAAGTCTGATGAACTTCTTAAGAAGTTCACGAAACTCTAGCATGTTGCGTATCGACCTTAGGATGATTCTTGCTCGTTCCTTTGCTCTTGGGGAGTTGTCTCTGCTCCTGACTAGATTATCTCTGATGTAGCATAGGGTAGAGTTCGAGTACTTGTAATTCTGGTTATCTCGAAAAAAGATCTTATTATGTTGTGCGTTTTGAAATACCACTCCCACTTCTGGTTCCAACAATACAGTCCAAGAGGGGATGCTATTGATGCCCTGCAGATCTTCATTTGGTGCAGCGGCAATCAATTGATCCACTCCCAGATCTTGAGCTAGTTGAAAATCGAACTTGCATCTGAAGTCGAGAAGGTCTGTCATCATTTGTCTTATAGCAGAGTTGGCCACAACATATTTAATCCCCTTGTCCTTCTTGTGATCTGTGAAGTAATACAGAGAGATAAGATCCCACAGATTCAGATTTATAAGATATCAATATGTGAACTTGCAGATCTGTCTGCGAGACCTCTCCACCATATATTCGTAGAAGACAATCTGGTTATGTGTGAAGGTACGCTTCTTGATGTCGATGACTTGCTTGATTTCGTCTTGATTTCATCGACGAAATGGACTGCAGAGATGGGCTGTGTGTAGCGATCTAGGAACCTCTGCCTGATATGCTCTTGAACCATTGGATGAAGACTGATCTTTTGGACCGGTGTCTCTTCTCGCAGGTTGTAGAGAAATTGGTAGATGTCCTTGCTGTTTGCTTTGTCCTTTATGGGCTTATCAAGGGGTGTTGGCGTAAACATTGCATCCATGCTATCTTTGATCTTTTGTACTCGATCAGAGGGATGCTTTCGTTTTGGCCTCCTGCTTGCGCCTTCTATATCTGCTCTGGTAGGTTTGACAGGGACCCTCTGTCTCATAGCAGGTGTGACTACTCTGGTCCCTTGAGCAGGGACCCTAGCTTTGTGTGTGCTCTGTTGTGGTGGAGGAGCAGCAACCCTGACACCTTCTAGAGGAACGACAACAAGAATGGCCAAGAGTGTTGGATCGGCCACATTCACTGCTACCACCTCTTCTTCTCTTTCTCTTGCTGGAGCAGCGCTGTCCATGGCGTATTCGGTTGATGAAGACAGAGCTAGGTCTGAATCAGATGATTCATAGACAGATAGAAGATCTATCACATCTTTATTCTTTTGTAGCCCAGCTGGCTCTGCCTGGGATGCCATGGGCATCTTTCCCTTTCTGAGTGCCTCTACTTGTTTTGGCGTTGGTTGACTCTATGCCCTCTGCCTTGAAGAATCATGCACTAGATGGCATGAGGCAGAAGACGTTGGTGCAGAGGGTGAAGCCGTAGGTGTAACACTTGGAGTGCTATTGGATACTTCTCCCCTCTTGACGATTTTGAGGACCAGACTTGTCTTGGTCCTCATCATCGTTAAGTATTCTCCTCTTCGATGGCTCGGCACAAGGAGAGGAGTTCATTCTTCTTTTTGGCCTCTGTTCCTCTGCTTGAGGCATAGACTTGAGCTTCTCCTCAAAGATTTTGAGGAGATCTTCGACTACATCTCCAACTCGTCGAATCTCAACGTCCGAGCAATAGTTGAAAGTGGCCAGAGAGTGTTTGATGGCTTATGCTGCTTATGTGGCTTTGTTGTTGAAAACAAAACATGTACCAATTACTAAAACCTCTTTTTTATTCGGATGTGAAGCTCACCACCTTCTATAGAAGTCTGTCACCCAGAGCATTCATGGCGCCCTGAGTGACATAGTCTATAGGTACGTTGAGGGGGATGATTGCATGGGCGTCATGGGAAGTGGACGCTTCACCCCTCTGCATGGATGCTATGACCTTTTGCAAGGCCTCTGCATTTCGTGCCGTCAATTCCGGTAATGTATGGAGACGAGAAACATTCATCAAAGACTCAACTCTCAATACTGCTAAGGATGCTTGTATCTCATCTAGAGCAGATGCAGAAGGGGACGGCTCTGCATGGTCCATGATGAGTTTTAGCTCTTCCAAAGAGCACCACAAAGAGGTGACAAGGGATTGGAACTCTTCCCTTGTGATGTATGCTGGTTGTGTAACCTCTGGCTCAACACATGGGGCAGATTGAGACCTCGTTCTAGGGAAACCTTCATTCACGACTTGGTTGATGTTGGTCGGGCTAAAATTTCTTGCAGATCCTTGTGGTTCTCCTTGAAGAGAATCCACTACCGCTATTATGTCACGAAGAGTATCCAAGGCAGGTTCAGAGCCAGCCAGAGGACTCTCCATGAGTGGACAAGAAGGTTGGTCGAGAACCTCCATGTCTTGTGTGCCTAGTCCTTACTCTGAACAAGGTGGGGAGTCTACACGTGCAGAGGAAACGAATTCCTCTGTAGGGGAAAGTGGCATGATATGGGGAGACATATCACTTATGCATTCAAAGGTTGCACCCTTTTGATAGGGTGTTTCCTGAGGTGTGGCTTCTCTTTGGCTGTCATAACCAAAGGCAGATGCGACCTCTGGTTGGTTAGGCTGGTTTGGGTTCAAGGTGTGCACCTCTGTTTGAATGACCTCCGTGTCTCGACCACCGGAGTCAGATGATTTGTTTGAACTGGGAGTTGGGGTGTTGAAACGGATGTGCCTATTTACCATAGGCTGCTCTGGCTCACCCTGAGACAGAGCAGCTGCTGCACCTCCTCCCTCTTCTCCTTCTTCTTCTTCCTCTTTACTCTCTTCTTCTTGTCCCTCACTCTCTTGCTCTACTCTAGCCTCCTCTTCCTTTTTCTTTTGTTCCCTCTCCATCCTCTTTTTCTTCGCTTCCTCTTTCCTTATTTGTTTCTCCCTCTCTTTCTCTAATCTCATAGCCTCTTCCTCTGCCTGAGGCCTTAGCGTTTCCTCTGTTCTCTCTTCTTCTTCGGCTATTCCTATGCATGATGGGGTTCGAGGCACTGGATCTAGTGCCTCGCATGCATGTCTGTACGCTCTCGTTACTTCTTTCGTTTTCATATATGCAAAGAACATCTTTGGAATGGGCCTTTCTGCCGCATAGCCCTCTTTGTTGACGGTAGGCTTGTTACGGGTAAGCACATTCACTTTGTGCACGGGCAGACGACCCACGTCAATGTTGTTGTCGTCAAGAACATGCCTTAGGAGAAGGCCCAAGAAGCGCAAAAACAACAGAGATGGTAATTCCCTTCCTTTTGCCACCTCCTGACATTTCTTGGCCACGGTAGCCTTGAAATCTGTGTAGAATATCAAGGAGTAATCCAGGGACAGATTGAAGAAGATGTCGTACAGAATTTGAATGATGTTCATGGAGCACATGTCTAAGCTCCTAATCTTCCGTGTCAGCGATTTGTTAACTAATGTGAACAGTGTGTTCCACATTGGAGGTAGGTATTGGCGATGGTATTGCGACAGGTACTGGATAGCCTTGTTGTACCCCAAAAATTTCAGAAAGGCAACTATCTCATCCCAGATGGGAGAGATACGTACTCGTTAAGCCCTAGGTCCGTTTTGGTAGGGATTTCAAGAACACGGGAAAACATGGATCTGGAAATTCGAACATTGAAGAACTCTTTTGAAGATGAGACATAAAAGTCTCCAATAATCCCCCTCTAGGAGTTAGTTATGGCACATGATTGCCAAAATTCCTGGATATACCTCTCAGGTACAAGGTCATCGGTGTTTGTCAAAGCAGGGTTCAAAAAGTGGTTTTGAAGGATGTTGATAACTGGGTGGTATTTTTGGTCAAAATTTTCAAGAGATAATATGAAGGCATGGTTATTTAGTTTGATTGGAAGAGGAACCAAGTTTTGACTGGTTTCCTCAATAGTTTTTAGGTTGTGGTGTGGGTTTGGGAGTTTCCAGATTCGGATGATGACATTTTTGCAGGTTCTTGAAAAAGAAGGGTTTGGAAAACTAGGGTTTGAAGAATCGGTTCTTGATTCTTGAAATAGGGTGAGGAAAGGATTTGTATGACTTACTTGACAAAGGGGATGAAGATTCGATCACTGAATGGTGTTACAGAAACTGGTTTGATAATCTTGAAGGAGAAACAATGGCGGTTGGCGAGTTGAAGACGACGAGTTCTTTTGAATTCTTTGTAAGCGTAAAAAGAAATTTGGGGGTAAATAATTTTGTTGATCCCAGATCTCTCAATAACACTAATAATCTAGTTATAAATAACCAAATTATAGTGATTTTATGAAGAAAGTTATGAAGTCTCAAAGATAAAATAAGAACATTCAAGAACGACTTTGAGCTTCAAAGGTTTTTCTTTATAACACACATTTTTTTTACAATAGACCTAGTCGTCTATTTAYACTAGATGGCTAATGCTAAGATAACTATCTATTGCTACTTTCTAGCAAATAGTCTAGCTAATAGATAAGATTTATCTTTTACATGGATAATCATTATAAACAAGATAAACTATAATTCCAGCTGCTGATTCGTCATCTCCAGCTGTCATTATATATGTGGTGATTTCATCCTTATCTTCAAGTCTTCATTGCACGCTTGGATGAATACTTCGAAAATCTTCTAAGTGTTAGTCTGTCCATCGTATCAATGAGAATACTTTCCATCGCATCATCCATCGGTCCGCTGGTTGAACTTCGTCCATCGATCCAAAGGTTGGTCTTTCCATCGATGCTCTGGATAGTCTTTCCATCGATCCAGACTTAGTCGATTCTGGCTTGATATCTCCATTGGTCTTCTGGTTCTTCATCACTTATTGTTTTTCATTACTTTTTACATTTTGCATTGTGGGTTCTAACAATCTCCCCCTAAGTAATGAAATAACAAAGTCTAATCTAAACACATATGAAGAACAGACACTAATCTAGAAGAAAAACATAAAATTCCAAAATTTTCATTGGATGATGAATTTTCTGTACAAGACTGGAAACAAATTTACATCAAGGCAAAATAAGAAAAAATTCCATCTCATCACGGACTACTTGAGTATATCTCCCTGAAGCGCAAGAGTAGTCTTCTATAGGCAATGATCGTTGAAATTTCGTGAATGAGATGGCTTCCCTCTTCCCTTGGCACGTGGTTTCTGCCCAGTCTTTCTCTAATATTTTCTTTGAAACCATTCAAGTGTATCCGTTGAATACTTGAAGGCTTCAGTCAATCTGAAGAACTTTTTAACCCCAAACTTATTCTTGTAAACAAGTTCGAGTTCAGGTTGAGAAAGAACTAAAGCAGAACGAATCTCCTGCAGGCCCTGAAAATCTTCATTTGGAGGAGTGCAGGATAATCTCTCAATGCCTAGCCTGAATGCAATTTCAAAATATGTCTTAGCTCTGAGCTCTACCAGGGACTCCATTGTCTYGACAATAGCTCTGTTCGCCATTCCAAATCGTATCCCATGATCTTGCCTTTGAGYAGTGTAGGCATATAACTCAATCAAGTCATATGGATTGAGGTTGATGAGGTCGTTCTTGTTGAACACACTAACTACCCCATGGGCTCTCTCCACATTGAACTTGATGTAGCGTATGGCTCTGTTGGCAAATGACTTTATCTTCAAGTCTATGACTCTTCTTATTCCATCGTTCAAAAAGACAGCATGTGGTGGTTGAGTAGTCTGTCTTATGAAACGATGATGTAGAAGGTTCATAGATTCTGGCGATAGGATTGGAGGATTGGTTGACAGGCTTTCTTCGCGCTCTCGGTACATGTATTGATGGATATTTTCCATCATTATTGGTTCCCTGGGCAGCAATTGAGGTCTTCTTCTTAACAACTCCATGTTTTGAATTATTTCGTCCACCAGGCCTTGAGGAGGATTCCTTGAGGAAGAAGGAATGTCCACGTGCACCACGGGTTGTGTCTCGGCTGGTTGTGTTTGGGTAGTGGGTGAGTTTTCTTTGGTTGGTTGGGGTGATGAAGGTTGGGTTGTTATGGGTTTCGGCTGTTGGGGTGAAGAAGGTTTGGTTGTTGTGGGTTCTGGTTGTGTGGAGAAGATGAAGGGTTGAGTTGTGCAAGGTGTTGATGAAGGGGTTAAGGGTAGGTTTGTTGTGGGTGTAGAAGAAAGAGGTTGGTTTTGTTGTGTTGGTGGGGTGGTTGGTTCTTCATCGGTTGAGGAACTCAACACGATGAGGTCTGGAGTTGTAGCTAAGGGAACCTAGTTAAGCGGTTCATCATCAGAGGGCGAAGCCTCTGGTTCCCTCGCTTGGGTTTCTTGGGTGGATGGTTGTTGTGGTGATGGTTGTTGTGGTGCAGCGGATGTAGATGTGTATGCAGCCGCCGCCTCTATCTCCCCCTCACGAGGTCCAAGACCTTGATCATCAGGGTCTTAGTCATCGTGGCGTTGTCGTTTGCTTGGACGGCTGCTTGAACATGAGGCTTGGAACCTCTTCTTCTTCTTTTCCTTCCTGAGGGACGTAAGATACTTCCTCAGGCTCGTTTGTCGGTGGCTCTCTACCATTGTCTTGAGGAGAAAGGTGATGCGTCTTTGTTCATCGGCCAAGGTTTGTGTAAGAGTTCTGGTTGGATGGATGGCCCGATGAACAAACTTTGAGCTGATATCGTTGAACGAGGAGACCAGTGCCCTTGATAGAGCCTGCATGTCCGCCCTGGTGGCGAAGTCGGTTGTGGAGGCTGAAGATGGTGGTGGCATGGTGGATGTTGATGGGGGAATAGGTAGGTTGGTGATTAAATTTTTCACCTCTGCAGTGAAAGTGGAAAAGGCTGCATCGAAGGATGGGCCTGCAGAGGGAGGAGGTGGCTGAGAAGTGGGTGGGGGTATTTGAGTTAAGATAGCAGCGAGGAGTTGGGTGAGGGTGTCTTGGATAATGGTCATTTGGTGGGTGAGGGTGGCAAGGGTTTCATSGATTGATGAAGTGGAGGGCTGGGTAGGTTGGGGAATTTGTGAGGTGATGGAGGATGGTAGTTGATGATGGGTGCAAAGGATGTTTTGGAGTTGGGTAATGATGTAGGTTAGGTTTTCATCGGTCTCAGTTGCCTGAGCCATGAGGGTGGCGAGGGATTGGATAATGACTTGGTTTCTTTGGGTGGCTAAGGATGATATGGTATTGTGTTGTTGGGTTATGGTTTGTTGGAGGATTTGGAGGCGGGATGAGTTGGTTTGG